TATAAACTATGATTATTTTCAATGTGAAAAGACAGATTAATTTTTTTAAAGGTTTTATTTATCCATTTGAGAGAGAGAGAGGGCACAAGCAGAGGGAATGGCAGGCAGAGGGAGAGGGAGAAGATGTGGGCCTCGATCCCAGGACCCTGGTATCATGACCTGAGCTGAAGGCAGATGCTCAACCAATTGTGCCACCCAGGTGCCCCAAGACAGATTAATTTTCATAAAATTTACCCAATATTCAATGTCACTCATTCAGAAAATAAAACAACTCCCTCATCCCCACTCCCTCATGGAACAATCTACTAAAAGCTGAGTGGATTTTTATTAGCAATATGGTGTTGAATCATGATACCACCTTGAATTTGAAGAATATATTTCTTGTCTTAGGTTTGATGCTAGGAACAGCTGAAGAGTTTTGTTTTGTTTTGTGTTTAAGAATTTATTTGAGAGACAGAGAGTGTGTGTGCGCAGAAGTGGGGGGAGGAGCAGAGGGAGAGGGAGAAGCAGACTCTGCACTGTGCGTGGAGCCTGACACGGGGCTCGATCCCATGACCCTGAGATCATGACCTGAGCCCAAGTAAAGAGTCGGACACTCAACCAACTGAGCCACCCAGGTGCCGAAGAACAGCTGAAGGGTTTTATTTTTTATTTTTATTTTTTTTTAATTTCAGCTGAAGGGTTTTAAAGAGAAGATAACACAACCCTCCCAGGTTCCAGAACCAAGAAAGTCAATGATTTACTGGCATTACCAGGCTCCTTGGGGAAAGGGAGTTTGGGTTCTGACATTAAAATAATCATGTCAGAATATTATGGGTATAACAATAAGATTTCATCTTTTCCCAAAAACTAGGTAGTTAAATTCAGCCAACAGATAACACCTGGACACCTGCTGGGAATGCAGGCTTTACACACGGAGTGTCCCTATCTGAATTTTCAGTCACTGCATCTGCAATGTCGTGGTACACGCAGCAGTTACGTAAAAATTACTGAGGGAACAGAAGAGTGAATCTCTCTACCTTGCTGACGCTGCACAAGTAATAAACTTCTTATGTTAAAAATCTATGAAATAGGGGCACCTGGGTGGCTCAGTCGTTAAGCATCTGCCTTTGGCCCAGGACATGATCCCAGGGTGCTGGGATCGAGCCCCACATCGGGCTCCCTGCTCAGCGGGAAGCCTGCTTCTCCCTCTCCCACTCCCCCTGCTTGTGTTCCTGCTCTCGCTGTGTCTCTCTCTGCCAAATAAATAAATAAAATCTTAAAAAAAAAAAATCTATGAAATGAGCCTCAATGTTTTTGATGCTTTTTAAAAGAGCAGGTTACACTTCTGGTGAGAGTATGTCACGGTCTTTTTTACGTGAGAAAGAACATTAGTGCTCCAGACACTAAGCTATCATTCTACTTAGCAAAGTTATTCTGGATTTAAAAATTCTCCTCAAACCCAGAAAAGTTTCATTTACACATGTCTCTGCATCACTGAATTAAACTAGTGTAGATCGTTTTAGTTCTCTAAGAGATTTTGCATGAATTGTTTCATCTGATGGGATGAACCTGGTTGTTTAAAGGACACAGCAAACGCTCCTGCTGGGCTGGTGGTGGCTGCCAAGGCCCAGGAGCACCGCAGACAGAGCTGAGCAATGCAGGAGTAGTAAGAGAATGAGAGCCGGAAGACCAGCAAAAAGGGAAAACATGGCAGTGAAAGAACATTCCACCATAATCACAGAGGTCGGAAGAGTGGGGAGCAGTGAGGAAATCGCTGAGGGGCAGAGTCACAGGAGAAAGGGCAGGGTGGGAAGAGAGACCAGAGGGCTCCTAGGATGGCACAGCCATGTGGACATTATGCTCTGTATCCCCAACTCACCCAAGTACGGAAGCATGAAAAATATTTTAAAAACAATTCCAGTAAAATTACCCAAGTGAGCCCCTAAGAGATGAAATCAGAAGTTCATCTGATTCCTCGTTGTATCCTCAGCACTTGACGGGAGATAGCCTTAGGAGAATTCTGCTGAGAGCATGCAACCGTGTTTGGATTAAAAAGAAGTTTGGGGGGCTTGCCTGGGTGGCTTGGGTCCTGGAATCGAGGCCCATGTTGGGCTCCCTGCTCAGCCGGGAGTCTGCTTCTCCCCCTCCTGCCCTCCCCACCGCTCGAGCTCTCTCTCAAATAAATAAATTAATTAATTAAAAAGAAGAAGAAGAAGAAATTTGCACTTATAAGCAAACCCACTATCACCTGGACATTTTACTTAGCCCAAAACTTCACTCTTAAGGTATTAAGGAAATTGTAAGCATTAGTGATTTTTTAGTTTTGAAATTTTATTATTTTTTGTTTTAAAATTTTTTAATTTATTTGACAGAGACCGAGAGAGAGCACAAGTAGGCAGAGCAGCAGGGAGAGGGAGAGAGAGAAGCAGGCTTCCCACTGAGCAGGGAGCCCGATGCGGGCTCGATCCCAGGACTCCGGGATCATGACCTGAGCCAAAGGCAGACACTTAACGACTGAGCCACCCAGGTGCCCCAAGTTTTGAAATTTTATTTTTTTATTTTAATTATTTTATTTGATTTTATTTTTCAAGTTTTGAAATTTTAAGAACTCTTTTCCTAACAGGGTAAGGCAGAATTTATTGATGTATCCTCCTCAGAATGGAGAAGGAAATATTCAGAAACAGTCTGTTCAGCATTATCACAGGAATGCAAATTAGTTTTGTTAATTATATGTAGCTTTTGAGGTTCTTAAAACAGCACAACTTAACAGATCAATAGAATTTTAGGAAAGGGAACCATCACACATAAAAAATAACTTCACAGGAAAGACAACTTTAAAAATGTGAATAGTTTCCACCGCCTGCTAGGTATTATCCAGTAGGGAAAACTGACGTTATGAATCTGAGGAAGGAACACTCCGCTTGGTTGTAATACAATGTGAGTTCAACAGCAAACCCCCACCATAAGTGTTCTGCAAAGCAGGGAGATGCAACAGGGGAGCTCTGACCCTTTTTCACTGTTTATACCTAAAAACGTAAAATTAGACCTTCTGTCTTTTCCCCAGATGGTCAACTTGATTATTGGTGTGAAAAGCAGTGGTCAGAGAAGGCTGACCTTGTGGTATAACAGCTAGATTTGAATCCAGGTGTGACTTCTGTTTCGATGGTTCCCTGTATCAGAGGCCTGGTGAAAATAAACAAGGGAAGGAATGCTGGGTCCAGTGCTTTACTACTGGCTCTATTTAATTTTTTTTAAATGAAAACACTTTTCTTTCAAATACTTTTTTTTATTTTTAAGTAATCTCTACACCTAAGGTGGGGCTTGAACTCACGACCCCAAGAGCAAGAGTTACCTGCCCCACCGACTTAGCCAGCCAGGTGCCCTCTATTTAATTTTTTTTAACTTTAAGAAAAAATTGTGGTAAGATACGTCTAACATAAAACTGCAATTTTAACAACAAAGTGGCATTAGCTATATTCATAGTGTTGTGCCGCCACTACCAGTAGCGACTTCTAAAATTTCCAAACAGAAACTCTGCACTCATTAAGCATATGAAACAATTTCAAGAGGAAATTAGGAAGAAAAAAACCATAGTTTATAGAGGGCTGACTGGTAAGTGGTAATAAAAATCTGGTTAAAATAAACAAATGAATGAATACTGGATCAAGTGCTTTCCTATTCTATGCAACTTTGTCAAGACTAGTTGCTGGGGAGCTGACTAGAGGAGGCAATGCAGGGAGCCAGTGACCTCACGCCGATGAAGTGAGCAAGCTCCCACAGGGCTCCGCCTTCCCGGGCACTCTGGTGCCTACTTTGGCTCTGTTGCTTTTCCAGTTTCTACTCGAAGTTTGTTCCTCCCCGACCTGCCCAATGATGATGCAGAATTAGAAAACAATGGCTATAAATGGGACTTAAAAGCTGACTTGGAAAAAACTATAAGATGAAAAACAGGAAGAGTAGCTGGTATCCTAATTTTCAGGGGAGGAAACAGCGACGTGGAGAGGTCAGCAGGAACTCTGTAGGGCTGCTAGCTGGTGGGTCCGTATGTGACCTCAGACTTAGACCTCTTTCCACTATATGAGGCCACCTTCCCAGGGGGCTACAGCTTGCATACGGCTTTTTTTTCCCCTTAACTGTTTTTTTAAAGATTTTTATTTATTTATTTGAGAGAAAGAGAGAGAGTACAAGCAGGGGGAGCGGAGGAGGGAGAGGGAGAAGCAGGCTCCCTACCCAGGACCCGATCCCAGGACCCCAGGATCAGGACCTGAGCTGAAGGCAGACAACTTAAACAACGGAGCCACCCAGGTGCCCCTTTTTTTCCCTTAACTTTAAAAAATGTTATTATCAAACAAAGGAGAATGCTCATCTTGATCCTCTCTGCCATTTTTTGTTTTGACCATTTTCATTACTGTTTGGAGAAACTTTGGATTATGTATAACATTTGACTTAGTCAAGCAGTAAGTATGAAGTCTGTTCAAACCTACAGCTTATAAATTAATACTACGAGAAAGAGAAGATTCACAACGTACAACTTAATGACTTAAAAATCCACCCAGTATCTCCTTGTCCTACTGTATTTTAAAATGTTTCCTTTGTTTTGTTGTACTGTTTTAAAGAATCAAAAAATATATTAATAATCATAAGAGTATTATGAGGGAAAAAAATGAGATTTCCTTATAAGAATGTAACTAATCTTGTCTTGATCATAATTGCCAGAACTGTCAAATAAAAGTCACAGCAGTATTAAAAACAGTGTTCATAACGCTTACTGTCCCCGGAGGCATGCAATAAAAGTTCCTGAAGTATAAACATCATAACCAAAAGTCATCTTATTCAATCTTACTCATTTCCTATTCAATATGAAAAATAAAACTACTAATTATTAGAAGTTTAATAGATTTTCCCCTCATGGCTGGAAACCGGGGAAAATCTACAAAAACAAGGCACTATTTAGTAGAGATGTGCTTTTAAAATTTCATTTTACTTCTAATTGCACTTCTGTTAAATCCCACACTTACTTCTGCTATCTCTATCCTTTTTGCAAGATCATCAAGAGAAAGACAGCTCTCGTCGGAAGGCAGATCCTCCTGCAGACTGTAGGAGGCTTCTTCAGGAGAAAGATCTGGAAGAAGGTCCGAGTCTTCCTCCTGGTTGTCTTCACGTGACAGGGAGTCTTCAGTATCTTTTAAGCATCCTTCTAACAGGCTGTTCAAATAGTCTTCCGTCTCTTTACTGACGTGCTCGTCCTCACCCCCCCTCTCCTCGGGGGCCATACACGCCTCTGGCCGCAGCGCACTTAAGTCAGACGCTTGATTACTCTCACAAAGTGCCCTGTCAGAGCGCTGTGGGTCCGGCCGCCCGCGTGGTGATTTTCCATCGCTGTCTGTGAGCTCAGGTTGCTGCAGCTCACTGGAGTCACTGTTCTCAAGGCGGTCCGTGGGCAACGCCTCAGAAGCATCCTTAAGTGGCAAACGGAGTCCCTTTCTTTGAGTCCGGGAATACTGTCCCTCGGAGGCGGACGCCGGAGCTAAGAGGTCAGAGCCGGGTGAGATCAAGGGCTCTAGCATGGACTCGCTGGGGAGCAACGCCGCGGGGGCTGCGGCGGCCACATCGCGGCAGGCCTCCGTCTGAGGCCGCTGCGGGCGGCTGTCATCCTCACAGGCGTCCTCCGAGCGGCTCCCGGCCGAGGGCCAGGGCGGGGCGTGCAACTCCCGCGCGGCCGCCGCGCCGCACAGCGGCTCCTCCGTGTGGCGCTCCCCCGCAGTTACCAGCAGGCTCGGGGGCGCGGCCTGCCTGTCCATCGGGAGACAGCCCGGGCTGCTCTCCTGGCTTCTCTCTTGACCGGGGCTTTCTCCCCTTCGCTCGGGGCCAAGACAACTTTCACTCTCTGAAGACAAGAAAAACAAGTTGTTTTAAGGTTCAAAACAACACTTGGCATAGGAGGGAAGAGAAAGGACATTGGTGAATTGATACGTGTGACACAACAAAATCTGAAACCTCTCCAGTGCAAACTGCATCTGCTTGGATTAATAGTGTCTTTAGAGAGGAAATACTCTATGCAGTCAATAACCCTTTACCTATAGAAATTAACAGAGATTGTTCAGAACATGTTAAGAATATGAATATGTAATTTAGTCTTCGTTATCGTTGAAAAAGCCATTTTTCAAAGGTTGAAAGATATTTTTCTGAACTTTACTGGTTTTCTATAATTCCTTTCATATTTACCCTCCATTGAAAATCAGATTTATACTGTTATTTTTATGGATTTTTCAGTTTTAAAGACTACCCACTGTGGAAGAAGAGGTTTATTAGTTCTCTCAGTTCTTGCTATTCCTTCCCCCCAGTGATCTATTATTTCCCCTCCTCTAGCTTCCCACTACAACTCAACAGGATTCTGGGGCAAATCAATATTCACGTTTACCCTGCTATGGCTTTGTAAATATTATTCACAACTGACCCACACTGTGTACTAGGATATATTTTCCTTTCTTGTTTCCACTTTATTTTGTGTGCTGTTGATAAAACTGCCTCATTCCTTCATTAAAAAAAAAAATCCTTGCTGGGGCACCTGGGTGGCTCCAGTTGGTTAAGTGTCTGCCTTCAGCTCAGGTCATGATCGCAGGGTCCTGGGATGGAGCCCCGTGCCAGGCTCCCGGCTCAGCAGGAGCCTGCTTCTCTCTCTCTCTCTGCCTCCCCCCCACCCCCCGCTCATGCTCTCTCTCTCTAATAAATGTTAAAAAAAAAAATCTTTGGGACACCAGCGTGGCTCAGTCATTAAGCGTCTGCCTTCAGCTTAGGGCATGATCCTAGGGTCCTGGGATCAAGCCCCGCATCGGGCTCCCTGCTTGGCACAGGAAGCCTGCTTCTCCCTCTCCCACTCCCCCTGCTTGTGTTCCCTCTCTCGCTGTCTCTGTCAAATAAATAAACAAATAAATCTTAAAACAAAAATCCTTGCCTATGTATCTCTAAACTCTGACAGATATCAACTATAGCATATGTACCAACAGATAATCTATCACTTTTAAAACATATCCTTCTTGGGGCGCCTGGCTGGCTCAGTCAGGGGAGTGTGCAACTCTTGATCTCAGGGTTTTGAGTTTGAGCCCCACGTTGGGTGTAGAGATTACTTAAAAAAATTTTTTTAAATCTTAAAAAAAACAAACGAACAACATACCCTTCTTGAGCTCCTGAGCGGAGCTGCTCGCTGGGCCGGCTACACGGGACTTGTCCTGGAATTCCCTTCCTGTGATCCCTGGAATTCCCTTTCATTCTGTGTTGGGAACATTGTTTCTGAATCCCAGGTCTGCCTGTTTATTCTTTCTTGGATTTTTTTTTTTTTTTTTTAAGTACATGGAAGGTAAACTTAAGATTGTTCAGATCTGAAAGTCTTTTCCTTCAGCCCTAAAACTTTGGTTGGGTCATTTTCTATGCTGGGGATAACTTCCTCTTACAGCTTCAAAGGCACTGCTGTACAGTATCCCGTTTCCGGTAGGGCTGTAGAGTCTCTCAACCAGTCCAAATACCAATCTGAATATCAATCCCCATCACCTACATTTGCTTCCTGGAAGATTTGGATTCTTTTCTTATATCTGATGTTCTGAAGCTTCGGGAAGTTTCTCGTTCTTTGTGTTGGGTACTTGGTGGGACTTTCAATCTGGACACTCATGACGTTCACTTCTGGGAATTTTCTTGTATTATTTCCCTAATCATTTGTCCCCTGTTGCTTTTCTGTTCCTTCCTTTCAGAATGCTCATCTTCAGATTTGGGCCTTATGGACTGATCATCTCTACCATTTCTGCCACACTGTTCCTCTCTTTGCCTTTGGGTTAACTTTCTGGGATGCTACCTCAATTTTATCCTTTGACTCTTCTAATTAATTTTTTAATTTTTTTAGAGAGAGAGAAAGAGAATGCGAGTAAGGGATGGAGGGGCAGAGGGAGAGAGAACGAATCTTAAGCAGGTTTCACGCTCAGCACGGAGCCCGACTTTGGGACTCAATCTCATGACCCTGCGATCATGACCTGAGCTGAAATCAAGAGTCAGAGGCTCAGCTGACTGAGCCACCCAGGTGCCCCGTAATTAATTTTTTATTGTGGCCATCACACCTTTTATCTTCTAAGAACATTTTCTTTCTCTGAATGTTTTTCTTATTTTAAAACAGCTCTGGGGCGCCTGGGTGGCTCAGTCGGTTAAGCATCTGCCTTAGGCTCAGGTCATGATCTCGGGGTCCTGGTATCGAGCCCTCCATCGGGCTCTCCACTCTGCGGGAGTCTCCTTCTCCCTCTGCCTGCTTCTCCCCCTGCTTGTACTTTCTCTCTCTCTCTCTCTCACTGTCAAATAAATAAATAAAATCTTAAAAAATAAAAACAAGCAAACAGCTCCTTATTCTTGTTTTTTTTTAAAAAAAGTTTTATTTATTTGGCACACAGAGATTGAGAGATAGAGAGCAAGCATAAGGAGAGGGAGTGGGAGAGGGAGAAGCAGGCTTCCCGCTGAGCAAGGAGCCCGATGTGGGGCTCAACCCCAGGACCCCAGGACCATGACCCAAGCCAAAGGCAGCCACCTAACCAACTGAGCCATCCAGGGGCCCCTTATTCTTGTTTTCATATATACAATATCCTCTCTAACCTGTGACACTGTTCATTTTTTTTAAAGTTTTCATCTGTTCTCTCCATTTTATTTCCTTTGAGCTTCTTTGGGTTTGACTGACTGATCTGGTTTCTGTCTTTCCTATCTGAGGCTTTCTTAAATGAGGCAACAAGCAGCTCTGTGGTTAAAGGCAAGTCTTCTTCAGGAGTGGTCAGTCCTCAGTGTAGGATGAAGAGGGCTTGGGCCATTTGCTGGGAGGCCTTTAATATGAGTATCTGGAGGTTTTATCTCCTGGACGAGTAGCCAGTTTCCCAGAGAGGAAGCTAGAGACCAGCCGCCACAGTTCTAGATGCTAGCTGCAGAAAGCAGGCTAAGGCTCTTGCCATTCAGGTGGTAAGATATTCACTCAATCCTCATTTTCTACCTAATACCCCTTCCTTGAATTGTGCCTGATCCACGTCCACAATTCCTCTAGCTCAGGCGCTCTAGGAAGTAAGTGTCAGCCTCCCGTTTGGCAGAAAGGGCTTATAAACGTGGAAGTGTTTCTTGTATAGGCTTTCAGCCCAACCCCCCGTTGCCAGTCCAACCCCGAATACTTGACATTAGAGGCACCTTCATGTTTCCCATTCCCAAACCTTCCCAGGCAGGACTCAACATTGTTCCTGCAGACACTCAGCTTTCTGCTTTCTCTGGTGTAATAAGCCAGTTGCCACCCATCCACCTGCTTTTCAGCTTCTGGAACTTTCTGGATGTCGCATCTGCTGCTGCTTCCTCACCCATTCTGTGGCTGTGGGTTTCTGCCTTTAAGGATGAATTTCTGGGGGCATCTGGGTGGCTAGTCAGTTAAGGGTCTGACTTTGGCTCAGGTCATGATGTCAGGGTCCTGGGATCGAGTCCCATATCAGGCTCCCTGCTCAGTGGGAGTCTGCTTCTCCCTCTCCCTCTGCATCTCCCCCTGCTTATGCTAGTGCTCTCTATCCTTCTCTCTCAAATAAAAAAATCTTTTAAAAAAATTATTCAGGGCGCCTGGGTGGCTCAGTCGGTTAAGCAACTGCCTTCGACTCAGGTCATGATCTCAGGGTCCTGGGATAGAGTCTGGCATTGGGCTCCCTGCTAGTCAGGAAGCCTGCTTCTCCCTCTCTCTCTGCCCCTCCCCCGAGAAGTGTGCGCGTGTGCGCTCTCTCTCATGAATAAAATCTTTAAAAACAAAACCCATAGGGTGCCTGGGTGGCTCAGTTGGTTAAGCGACTGCCTTCGGCTCAGGTCATGATCCTGGAGTCCCGGGATCGAGTCCCGCATCAGGCTCCCTGCTCAGCGAGGAACCTGCTTCTCCCTCTGGCCCTCCCCCCTCTCATGTGCTCTCTCTCTCTCTCTCTCTCTCTCATTCTCACTCTCTCAAAATAAATAAATAAATCTTTAAAAAAACAAAAAAAACAAAAACAAAACCCATAAAAAAAAGAATACCTTTCTGACATTTCAGTAATGTTCTAAGAAAAAGTGAAGGTAAATGTCTGATCCACTCTGATTAATCAAAAATATTTTCTGAATTTTTGACAAGTATGCATTCTAGTATAAAACTTAATATTGTTAATGTTTCTGTTAATATTAGCATGAATTTCTGTTAATCAGTGCTCCTGAACCCAAAGATCTAGTGAATGAGTCTGTTACTCCCTACTGCATTCACTTCACATCTACTAACAAAAACTCTACTCTGATGAAAAAAAATGGAATAATGGCTGAGTGCATGAGAGATGCTTACTACACACCGAATTAAAGAGGGAGTTCTAAAAGGAGCATTAGACTTTACCTAAGTTCTAACACATAATCTACAGAAATGTGCCTGTCTCTGAGTTACTCTTTCATCTCCCATTCCTCCATGAGTTCTCTCTCTTTTTTTAAAGTTTTATTTATTTTTTTTTTTTAGTAATCTCTACACTCAACTCGGGACTTGAACTCACAATCCTGAGATCAAGAGTCACATGCTCGTCCGACTGAGCCAGCCAGGCGCCCCTCTCTTGAGTCCTCTTTACGTTAAAATCCCCCACACAATTCATGAGGTAAGACTAAACCATTCATCAATTAACACATCTTATAATTTCTGAGTATCTCATTAATTAACATTAAGTACAAACATTTGAGTGGTATCAGGACTAAAGAAGAAATTTCCACAGTACCCTGAAAAAATACTTCAAGTATGAAATGTTGATAATGTACAGCTTCTGCAGAGGTGAATTCAAAACTAAAACTGTTCATACCCAGTCATCAGGGGAAAGCAAGTTAAAACCACAATGATATTCATGTCCCCTAAAATGACTAAACTAAAAAAAGACTGACAACAGTAAATGCCAGCAAGGATGTGGAGCAATGGGAATCCTCACACGCCACTGGTGGGTATAAAACGGTACAACTATACAGGAGAACAGCCTGGCAGTTTCTTATAAAATTAAAAACGTACCTTCCCTATGACCAGCGATTCCACCCCCAATTCTTTACCCAAGAGAAATGAGAACATATATCCACAGAAAGATTTCCCAGAAGTTCTATTCATCCCCTCCCCCATTCATGCTCGCTCTCTCTCTCTCAAATAAACAAATAAAATCTTTAAAAAAAATTTTAAAAATTAGAAGTTTTATTCATGATATCCCCAAACTGAAAACAACCCAAATGTCTAGCAACAGGTGAATGGATAAACAAATTGTGGTACAAAGAGTGGAATACCCCTCAGCAATGAAAAGAAATGAACTAATCATACATATAACAATATGGGTGACTCTGAAAAACAGTACACTGAGAAATTCTATTTACGTTAAATTCCAAAGCAGAGAAAACCATCAATAGTAACAGGAAGCCCTGGGTTGCTTGGGCCTGGATGTGGGAGGGATTGATTATAAAGAGAATTGGGAGGAAGATTTTGGCATGATGAAGATGTGCTACATCTTGATTGGGGTAGTAGTTATATGAGTGTATACAGTTGTCAAAACTCCTCAAATTACACACTTAAAATAGGTATATTACATTGCATGGAAATTGTACCTCAATAAAGATAAAAAATAGGAAGGGAGGTACGCCTGGGTGGTTCAGCTGGTTAAGGGTCTGACTCCTGATTTAGGCTCAGGTCATGATCTCAAGGTCATGAGCTCGAGCCCCGAGTTGGGCTCCATGCTCAGTGTGGAGTCTGCTTGAGATTCTCTCTCTCCCTTGCCCTCTTCCCCTCCTCCCGCTTGCGTGCTCACACGTTCTCTCTTTCAAAATAAGTAAACAAAATCTTTTAAAAAATAAAAAATGGGAAAGGAAAGAGAAGTATAAAACCAGGGAGGATGGTTTTCTCAGGGGTCGGGGGAAAGCAGGAGAGGAACCAAACAGGAACACAAAGATAGTTGTAACAAAACCGACAGTAACTTAGTCTTTAGCTGCTTTAGTTGGGCATTAGGCTTACATATCTTCATTTTGTTATCATTTGTTATAATGTTTTCTGTAACATGTAGTATTTTTTACATATAAAATATTACCTGATAAAAATTAAGAAAAATATAAATTAATAAAAAATGCATGGACTTCAGGGTCAGAAAACTAGGGTCTGGCTTTGAGTTCTAATGAATTCTATTCCTGGATAAGTCACTTTCTGGAGTTTCTTAAAAATGATTCAGCCTAACTTATATTGGTTGTTAAGAGGAAGAGATGAAACAATATATATAAAGGTGTTCTGAAAATATAAAATACTCTGTAAATTACTTGAAGAGTTATAATGGTAGGCTGATTATAAAAGCAGGAATGAATAATATATAGAGAACATTCATAGAACAGTATTAGCAGGGCCAGCGACAGCATGGGGAGAAGAAGGAGAAAAAGGGGTGAGCATACGGAGTTCTTCCCTCCTGCCAGGTACCGTTCTGAATTTTTAACAGGAAATGACTAGTTTAATCCTCATGAGAATCTCATAAGGTAGGTACTATTAGTGTCCACTTTGGGGAGCTGAGGAAAGAGGCCTAGAGAAGCCAGGCAACTTGCCTAACATTACACAGTTTTACATGGTGGAGATAGGATTCAAACCAGACCAGTCTGGCTCCAGAAACAATGTCTCTAACCACTTTACAAAAAATGGCAAGTTACATATTATAGAAGGAGCTTAAGACCAAGGAATTTGGAGTGAAAGAACAGGGAAAGGAAAGTCTAGATCGAACTACATGTCAGACATTGTTAAAAATTAAGAATATGAGGTAAAACAAGAATATATTTAATACCAATCTTTAAAGGATTATTTTCGTATTTCTCTTTTTCTCACATTCTTACATTTCTATGCATCTATTCAGAAAATAATCAATCTGAGGAAACTAATTCTGAGAGAGTTGACATTCTTTTTTAAAAGATACTGTTTTAGGGCGCCTGGGTGGCTCAGTTGGTTAAGCGACTGCCTTCGGCTCAGGTCATGATCCTGGAGTCCCGGGATCGAGTCCCGCATCGGGCTCCCTGCTCGGCAGGGAGTCTGCTTCTCCCTCTGACCCTCTTCCATCTCATGCTCTCTATCTCTCATTCTCTCCCTCTCAAATGAATAAATAAAATCTTTAAAAAAATAAATAAATAAAAAATAAAAGATACTGTTTTACCAGACTTGGCAAGATTTCTCTCCCCAGAATTCACCCTCCCCATAAGATGGTTGTCAGTGAGATGTCTGCATTGGGAAAGTCTTGAATATACATACAACTTACTCAGCAGAAGAATGCTGCATTTAGTTTGAAACCAGAAGACCCAGGTTCTAGTTGTGAATCAAAGCACAAGCGAGTGACTTGCATGTGGAAGCTCAGTTTCCTCATCTGTACCACATACCTCACAGCAGAGGCCAAGCTAGAAAGCCAGAAGTAGTGCCGAGCCTGAGCCTCGCAGCAACCAGTACTCATGGTCAAACCAATCAGCCAATAACAGCACCATTCCCAAAGACAAAGCCATACCCAAACCGGGTGGCTATTTTGTGAATTTCTCCCTCTTTAGATCTTTATAAAGTTCATTTTACTATGATTTCCAATATAAAAAGGACTGGAAAAGAAGAGACAGCTGCTGTGGTATATAGTATAGAGGTTTCTCAAAGAATTAAAAACGAGATTTACCATATTATCCAATAATTCCACTACTGGGTATTTATCCAAAGAAAACAAAAACACTAATTTGAAAAGATCTGCACTTCTATGTTTATTGCAGCATTATTTACAATAGCCAAAATATGGAAGCAGCCCAAGTGTCCATCAATAGATGAATAAAAATGTAGTACACACACACACACACACACACACACACACACACACACACACACACAGAGGAATATTACTCGGCCATAAAAAAGAATGAAATCTTGCCCTTTGCAACAACATGGATGGGCCTGGAAGGTATTATGCCAAGTAAAATAAGTCAGCCTGAGAAAGACAAACACCACAGGATGTCACTCACATGTAGAATCTAAAAAACAAAACAAATGAAGAAACAGACAAAACACAGAATCAGACCTATAAATGCGGAGAATGAACTGATGGTTGTCAGAGAGGAGAGGGAGTGGGGACGATGGGCAAAATGGGTGAAGGGGGGTGGGAGATACAAGAATGAAGAAGTCAAAAGAATAAAAAGTACAACACAGGGAATATATAAGCAGTGATACCGTAATAGCACTGCATGATGAGGATGGCAGCTACACTTGTGGGGAGCCCAGCATAATGTACACACATGTCCAATCACTATGTTGTGCACTGAAACTAATGTAACATTGTCTATCAACTATACTAAAAAAAAAAAAAATCAGAAACTTACTTGTAGGACATTTTTTTTTAAGATTAGGGGTAAGAGGTGGGAAAAGAAGTTTGCATTTCAAAATGCAAAATACAGAATAAAATTTTATTTGGAGAAAAATCCAATTTCTTAAAAAAAAAAAAAGAAAAGGAGAAGAAGAGACAGGAAGAACAGAGTATAGTAGGAGTGACTTAAGGCAAAATCCCAAATTTGCCTCATAGAAGAAAAGGGGATAAAGGTGTAGTGGGGGGGGAGGGTGCTTTGTAAAAAGAAAAAGGCAGATTAAATTGAAGGCATCATCATCACCATCATTGTATCTCTTCGGGCAATTCACGCAAAACACCTGATGGTGCGTGTTTACTATCAGGGCTGTCAGGCCCAGGAATATGAAGCCTTAGAACATAAATCAGTACTAAAATCATATATCAGGAAAAACAAACACCCTGAAATGTATTTATTTAACTTTATTTTCTAAAGTTTTTATAATGAACATACATTAGTACTGTAAAAAAGAGTTTCTAAAAATCTTTGATCTTTTGGCGTAAGACACAGAAGTGGTATAAAATGTATCATAAATGCTTTAGAAATGTATACATGCAAATTAAAGTACACCATAAGTCAGTTAACAAAAAAGGGGAGGAGAATAAATTGCCATAGATCAATTACCAAGAAACAGAGCTCTTAAATATCTAGATTTACAGCACAAATTTCTGGGAAAGTCCATACAATAATTGTTGGTTTTTAAACAGAAAAGGATATCTGAACATACACCAAAACCAACTCTGTTTCAGAGCATTTTTGTACAATTTTTTCATATTCTGTTAGATATAACTATCTATTGAAAACACGGAAATAACTTTATGTTTTTATAAGAATTTAGATGTTATAATTCCTACTACTAGTTTTCTAAAAATAGGGTTAACATAACATAAAAAGAATCTCACTTTGCAATTTGCCTGGTAGGAAAGGTATATGCAAAAAAAATGTAAGTGCACAAATAGTCCTTGTAACACTTGTAAAATTTAAGAGGCAGACGTCTCTTATGTCCTTCTCTAAGGTAAAAACATACCCGGCTCTTCGGCTGTGGCTCCTCCTTCCCTCAGGTCCTCAGAAACTATTAACTGCGTAAAGCATTTCCTTCCCAGAGGCTTTTCTACAGCTTCTACCTAAAAAGTTAAAACAAAACAAAACCACTTTGGGGGAAACTTGTGTTAAATTAGAAAACTGAAAATACTTTGAGAAAGGTTTCATTATTTCCTAAAACAGTCCATACAACAGAAATATGACCCTTAACATTTTTTCCCAAAAATATTTCCAAGGAGACAGTCTCTTACCTTATGTTTGGATAAAAGAGGACTGTAGAAAAAAAGAGAAAAAAAAAAGATTTTAAAAAAAATTACAGCAGCTATATTCTTCCAAACAAATGTCACTGAAATGGCTGTAAAAATAAAATATAGCTTCTCTGGATTCTAATATTAGCACAGAACATTTCCAGTGCTGAAACATTACCACTGGTTCACACAGTTCAAAGGGCAGCTCTCTCATGTGTTAGCTCCTCAGCTAGCCAATTACTACTGAAAACACCCAAAGAAGCTGTAAATGCTGAGACCCAGAAAAAAGTTAACATTTTGCTAATAATGTAAAGAGTATTTCACACACATATTTTTAAAATTTCAGTTTATGTCTTTATAGTCTGAAATAGGTTATGATGGAAGATAATTTTATTGGCATTATCCATGGAAACAGGTAACAAAAAAGATAATTTTTAAATATTATATGTTTTAGGGAATATCAAATTGAATGTCCACAGAAAAGGTATGCACAAAAATATTTATAGCTATTTTATTCATAATACTCAAAAACCAGAAACAATCTGAATGTCTATTAACAATATGATGGACAAGTAAATTGCTACACAGTCCTACAGTGAACCCACAGAAATAAAACCGAGCAAACTACCATTACATGCAACAACATGTAACACAGACATAGCATAATGATGGGCAAAAGCAGTTAATGCAGAAATCTCCATTTTGTATGATTAGGTTTATAAGAATTACAGAATAGGCAAATATACTGTTATAGAACTTAGTGGTTATTTTGGGGGGTGGGTGCTGACTTGGCACATGCATGAGGGAGCATTCTGAGGGGCTGGACTGTTCTGTGTCTTGGTCAGAGTCGTAGTTACATAGACATATATGTGTATATAAAACCTTCACTGAGCTTCTGTGCTTTAATGTATGTAAGAATTAAAAATTACTTTTTATAGTAAAAAATTTAGGAGTATGGGTGCCTGGGTGGCTCAGTTGGTTAAGCGATGCCTTCAGCTCAGGTCATGATCCTGGAGTCCCGGGATCGGGTCCCACATCTGGCTCCCTGCTCAGCAGGGAGTCTGCTTCTCCCTTTGACCCTCCCCCGTCTCATGCTCTCTCTATCTCATTCTCTCTCTCAAATAAATAAAGAAAATCTTAAAAAAAATTTAGGAGTAATAATTTTTGGGGGAATTATCCAAATGTAAAGAATAAAAATGCCATGCCAATATTATATTAAATAAATATTTTTCAAATAATTAAAACATCTGCAACACATTAAAAAATGATTAATTCCATGGGAAAGGCAGAGAAAGTGTCTGTACTGAGTATTTTGAAAGAACACAATCTCCTTTATCTATCGTAAAAGATTCCATTATTTTAAGACTCTACGAAATTGAAAGTTAATCTATTTAACATGCTAATAAATTAGGTTATAATGCAGAGTCCCTAAAAACAGTTTCCAAGGTTCAAATTAAAAGCAGAAAACTGTCATCATGAGAGCTGAATGACCATCATTTCTGAATCTACAAAGATTCTTCAAAGGCTGGTCTCCAAAATAATCAGACCCTAAAGAAACTATCCACTACGTGGGTCTGTTTCATTACTGACAAGTAGAGTTTTAGTTTACTCTTTGTGATTCTGGTGGAAAAGGAGAAAAAGTTATCCACAGGATGGAATCTTGAAGTGTCTGTATTAAAGATTCGATATAGAAATCTATAGTTTAAATATCACTAGTTTAAGCACTATAATTTTCCCTCACCTTCAGAATTCTGAATCTTAGAATAATGAATTCAAAAAATATATTTAAGTGCTTTATTATTACTATGATTTAGTTTTAAAAATCCCAATCTTTGATACAAATCAAGCAATTTAAAATTATCTGGTAAATGTAGCTTTACTTCTGCAGTATTTTGGTTAAATATTGTACTGTTTCTGCTTCCCACTGTTAGACAAATCTTACAGATGTGTTTTCACTACAACATACGAACACTGGCAAACAACTACAATAAAAAAATCCTAATACACAACTCTTTTCCATTTCCATCACCTAATCTCTTAACCAAAGAGAGGTCAAAATTAAAAGTTGTATTTTAAAATTTCTAATTAGAAGGTGCTTTGAATGAACGTAAAGTTGAACTTACACTGAGTTCTCAGAAACTATGATAAAAGCTAATCAGATAAAAGCTAATCATTTTATTTTATGTTTTAATTTCTCCAACTGAAAACATTAACAAATAAAAAATGGATCATGAATTTCAAATATTCAGTGCTACAATGCTTCTTCAATACTCTATTTCAACTCATTCTATACAAATACTGATGTACTTACTCTTGGTGTGTTGTGCAAAACTTAGCAAGCCATTCAAAATCTTCACCATTAAATCCTTTTTCCGAATTCCTTAGAGATGTAACTGTATGTGGTTGTACAGTTTTCCATTTTGTTTCTAAATTTAAAATATTTGTTAATTACTGGCTATTACAAAGCATATTTAGGGGAGCAAAAGTAGTTAACGGGCACCACCAATCAAGATCCCCATGCAAAATTATCTTCTCATACAACCCAAGTTAACATAGTTAGCAAAATCTAAGTGATTACTTTTCAATATGAGTAAATATTATTCCAGAGACTAAATTAGCCAGTGGGGCATGCCAAAGGATCAGAAGAAATGCAAACAGTTGTAAGTGTTCTTTTCTTGGCATTGATACAGAGAGAAATTTTCTCACAATGACATAGACTCGCAGTAAAATTGCTACTTTCTATGCAACTTCTATGCAACATTAACTTAACTGTTGAAACATCTATTTCCTGACTTACAAAACCAGGTCAAATATGTTAAATTTCTAGATAGAAACGTTTTAGATTACTGGTAATTGCACATCCTATGTGAGTCTGTACTTACCCCACTCTTCTTGAATGGCAGAGAGATTTGCGAGCAATTTCTCATGATACAGTCGTTCAAGCTGAATGAATTTCATTGCTTTCTCATCTGAATAGAAAAACTGAGGAAAATAAAAATCCATACTCTTTACATTTAGCCTCATAGTTGAAGAATGTCCTCTCGAAACTGGGAAATTTGCAGCTTACCAAAAAAATGAAAGGACTCTATTTTTAAATTAGGGTTTCTTGGTTTGGAGTAGGTATTAATATAACATGTGATGCCATAGCTACTCGGGTTCTGTTCTATCAGCAAACAGAAACTAAAAGAGGGTTTTAATGATCAAGGAGTGCCTGCTTGCCAGTGTATCTCTAGCAGAATCAATTAGAAGTAATTTAATTGGAAACAGGGACCCACATGGAATCCTGGAATCTAAATGTTTCCCATTTTTTCCCCTTCTCCTTAAATCACTTTCTGTCAAGCAACTACATTACCCTCTAGTCAAGTGTGTGTTCCTGATTTCGACTCACCTTGACTCTTTTCTTTTTTTCTCACTGAATGCTTTTCTCCCACAAGACCAAAGGCTTGCAAGCCAAAACAAGCACAGAGCACAACATTATATGGATCTTTTGTAAAAACTTAATTAACTGGGGTGCCTGGGTGGCTCAGTCGTTAAGCGTCTGCCTTTGGCTCAGGTCATGATCCCAGGGTCCTGGGATAGAGCCCCGCATCGGGCTACCTGCTCAGCGGGAAGCCTGCTTCTCCCTCTCCCACTCCTCCTGCTTGTGTTTCCTCTCTCACTATGTCTCTCTCTGTCAGATAAATAAATAAATAAAATCTTAAAAAAAAAAAACTTAATTAACTGGCCAGAGTGATTTTCGTAATTATGTGATTCCACTCTTTTGTAGATTTTCCTATAAACTTCTGCCTTCTCCATCTGTATCACACATTTAGCATCATATGAGGTCATGGTCAATTGTCCAACTGTCTACCTTCCTTTGGGCCATGTTCTAAATGTTGACCCAGAAAGAGGGGAAGAGAAAAAATGCTGGTTAGCTTTTTGCCCTTCCCATGATCACTTGGGATGCTCAGCTCTCTCTCTCATCTGTAGTCTTCAAAATATGCCGGGGATCATAAACTAGGCCAGGGAGAAGTGGGGGCAATTCCATTTTCCTCTGCCCATGAGGTAAAGTATACAAAGTTTCTCAAACTTCACTGAACATAAAAATTATCTGAAAAGCTTGCTAAAAATGCACATTCTTGGGTCTGATCTCTAGAAGCTCTGATTCTGAGGCCCATGGGTGTGCACACTATGAAGTGCCCCCTCCCCCCCACCCCGGGATATGGATGCTGGTCTGTACTACACTACATTGTGCTCATTATTTGGTTAGAAAAAGAGTTCTAGCTTCCCTTCCACCAGAATTAGATCTCCTGCGTACTTAGTCATGAGCTGCCATTGTCTGAGATGGTTACCACAGTCAATTTGACAGGGTTCAGGATAATAACTGTGTTTCCCTCAATCTGCTTGGAGATGTAGAACAAAGTCAACAAGGTGAGGACAGAGTCGAAATCACACAAATGGGGAAACAGATGGTTAGGGCACATTCTTTCTAGAGAGTCTATTGGAGCCATCCCTGGAAAAGAGAAGCGATTTTTACAAAGGGCAATTGGAAAACTGAGGGAAGAAATGTTTCCTGTATAAAAGGTAATATGCAGGGGCGCCTGGGTGGCTCAGTTGTTAAACGTCTGCCTTTGGCTCAGGTCATGATCCCAGGGTCCTGGGATCGAGCCCCGCATCGGGTTCCCTGCTCAGCGGGAAGCCTGCTTCTCCCTCTCCCACTTCCCCTGCTTGTGTTCCCTCTCTTGCTGTGTCTCTGTCAAATAAATAAATAAAATCTTTTTTAAAAAAAAATAAAAGCTATTACGCAGTTTCACTTGACAGCATTTGTTCTGTTTATTACGAGTGAAGAATTCAGTCTTACTTTTGCAGCTGAAAGCTAGAATAAGATGGTCATGAGATTTACTATGTGTAATATGCTCCCCAGGCTCTACTAGTCAAGTAGTGAATATCACTTGACTTGTACTTCTGTTTTAATTCAAAAGAAAGAAAACCCAATGGATTTTTAAATTATATTTTTCAACAATGTGATTTTTCTGCCCTCCTAAACATACAAATATTTAGATTGTGGTAAAATTGGGGCTTCTTCATGGAAGGCCAAATTTGGGTGGTTCTAGAGAATTTTCTGGGGTGGCAGAAACTGTCTACACCTTGCTTTCTGAGGTGGTTACATGGGTGCACACAGCTGTCAAAACCCATCGAAAACAACAGATACAGATATATATAGATAGATATATATATCTATATATATCTGTATATATTTTTATTGTATGTAAATCTCAACTTTAAAAAATGGGCAGTAGAGAACTTATGAATTTCTTCCTGTAATTAAGAAAAGGATACAGTCCTCCTCCTGGAAATAGGACTCTGCTATCTGTTAAAAAACAAACAAACAAACAAAAATCAGGACATTAGATTAACATTTGGATGAAAAGGCAAATTTGGAACAAATCAAGACCTCGACGCTAAGTCTTTGATATCAGACTAAGAAAACTCTGAACTACACTCACCAGTTGAGAAGAAATCTGACTGTAGGTCCAGGACACATTTCTGAAGTCACTGATCGCAAGCAAAGCAAACAGAGACATTCTTTGGTTTTATAACAACCCCTCTCTCCCTATTCTATTCTAAATCAAAGCCAACTTCACTGATTCATTAGAGTTTAGAAGTAAGAACTCTAGAGAATGAGGAAAATACTATGAGGGCTTATAACAGTGTAACACGGGTGAAAGAATGACTCCTTATTGTAAATCAAAAAGTTAAAATGTGTCAAGTCACATAAGACTCATTCACATTTTACCAAGTACCTCATGGGACACTGACTTTTGGTTCTCTTTCGATATTTCAGAAAATGCAGGGCCAAGTGCTAAGAGCTGAGCAATGATACTTGGAATACATACAAAGTGCTGCACAGGATAAAGGGCACTGGATGGGGGGGTGGTCCAGAGATTTAGGATCTGGTCCCAGTTGAGGCTTATCAGTTACCGGATTCATTCTAAGGCATATTTAAATTGAAAAATTCTTTGATTCTGAACATTTTGGGATCTTTTACTTATATCTTTATTTGGATATAGCATGTATAAATAGAACAATCATAAAACTGAAAGTATTCACTGAGAAATACTTGCATAAACTGACTGTTGTCATATTTAGAATATTTCATATAAATACTTCACACTTTTAAAACAGTTTCATTCTTACTAAGTCTCTAGTAGGAAAGGTGTTCCATCTATAGATCTCTACCTCCATTTTCCATCTAGCTGCCGATGCGAAGAGCAATACTGTACTTGTCAAACCTATAATCTAGCAACAAAAAGGAATGTTTTTTCATAAAAGACTCTTAATCAGAGGGAAAAAACTGAGGGTTGCTGGAGGGGGTTGGGGGATGAGGTGATGGGCATTAAGGAAGGCATGGGACGGAATGAGCACTGGGTGTTTTATACAACCAATGACTCACTGAACCTACTTCTGAAACTAATAATACAGTATAATACATTATATGTTAATTGAATTTAAATTTAAAAAAAAAAGGGAACGGTTTTTCCCAAATCCCACAGTGGAAACAGCATGCTTTTAAAGGAAAATATTTGCCTAGCTTAAAATTTATATCATAACTCTAACATTTTTCTACAAGCAATATATACAACTGAACTCAATCACCTCTTCATAAAGTTTTAGTTTAACCTAAAGCTTGAGTCCATAGTTACTTTCTATTCTGAGGACTTTGCAAAGGATAAACTGATTTTCAAGATTCTGCTTATCTTTTATCAGCTCATCCAGCTAACAGTATGACAATACTAACTGGAACCAAATCAAATTGTCAATATTTAACTACTGTTTTACTTACAAAACAAGAATTCCATATACTACGACCAGTAGTGTGTTGACCCACCCCCGACACCCAGCTCTTGAGCACTGGGGAGAGGCCTGACTTGTGTTCGCTCATTTCTGTGTTGTCAATGCTTCCATCATAACCAACTTCAAGCTACCGACATGATGGACACCACTAAACATGGTTCTCATGAGCTAGTGGTGGCGAGCTCCAGCACACCACTGGGTTACACCTAACAGAAATCACTAGCATTTCATTTATCAACTTCTAGCGAAAATCTATGGCATGGCATTGAATTTCTCTACTATACATCACATTGAATATAGATCAAAATACATCACTCCTAAGATTAAATTTCTGGCTCTTCAAAGCCATTCTTGTGCCTTTTTGCATTTGTGCACCATTAGCGCAGTCATTTATAAAAAGCTTCATACTCTTATAAACCAGACTTTCTGACACTACAGAAATACACAGTTCAATTAGCTTTTAGATTTCTGTGATGGTTCCAATACCATAAAAGTAACTATAAAAGTAGGGTCACGAGACCCAGTGGCATTTTCAGGTGAAAGGGCAGCTGGGGAAAATAAATACACAAGCCATCTCCCCTGTAGAAACCCACCCCTGGCAAGAGCAGACGGGGTTTTCTTTGATGTCCCATATGTCTAAATCTGGGAAGTAGCCTGATAGAGCAGAAAGAACTCAAGCTGTGGAAGTGAATAACAGGACTGCATTCTGGTCCAAACTTTGCCACTGCTAGCCATGTGACCTTGGACATGTCATTTTACGTCTCAAGACTCAGCTTCCTTATCTGTACAACAGGGACAGTAATACCTAAGACTATGCAAGACAAGGCTGCTAGGCTGCTGTCAGGATTAAGTGAGGGAGTGCATATCTATCATGGGGGGCAGCACATAGCAATAAGTGCTGAAAATGGTTTTTGAGTCTGAGTCTGAACTTCAAGGGCAAGACGCAGAGTAGAATCATGTGAAGAAGCTGAAAATCACTCTGGGAGGGCAACAGTGTTAAGATTTCAAGTTCTTGGGTTATTCTGGTTCTAGGCTTCTTTTACCTACCAGGACCCAGAAAAGGGAAGTAGAAAGGTATGTATGATTTTTTGACCATAGTCACAGAGACTGGTTTCAAGGATCCCAGTGGATCCATTTCCTGCCCAAGTCTGACACCAGTTTCAGTACAAACTCACTGAGCACAGAGCACCACACTTGATGTTTTTCTTCCCACTTCTATATGAAAAGCTTCCAAGTTTATGACTTCAGTTAAATACTTAGAGCTAACCTGCAGTCGTATTAACTAAGTGTGTGAAAGATTACTCATACCAAGAACAAGCATTTTTAAATGGAATCTTGAAGAGTTTCAGGAGCTGAAAATACAAGTACATATCTGATGTAACTGCAATTATGTTGCCAACAGTCTTTAGCACATGTTCTAATGGACTATCACCTCAAAACTAACAACTGTTCCCAAGGGACTTTCCCTCTCCAATTCCTCATTTCTGTTCATGGAATGCCACTCGCCCAGCCTGGATCTCCTGGCCATCTCAGACTTCCCTCCTCCGCTTTCCCATCCACTCCAAGTCTTAGGGATTCTTCCTTCAAGGGGACTGCAGTCCATCCCTCTCTGGAGGCCCCACCACTGCCGTAACCAGCATGCTTTTCTCACCTCATGCTTGGATTATCAATATTTCCTTTCAGTTCTTATTTTCATTAAAATTGTGCAAGTATGTGGTTTAAGGAGTCCAACAGTCCTATGATATGTGTTCACAAAGCCCTGCCCTCTTTGCCTTTTCTCTGTTCTTTGGGAGCAAGCGCTCAGAGATCTTCTGGTTTCTTTTTCTTTTAACCTCTGTATCCCTAAACATTACACCTATTTTGGCCATTTCTGGATTTTTAGGTTTTTTAGAAGATGAGGACTGAGACTTTTGCTCCCCCGGCCCCAACCCTGCCAACAGACAGCACACAGACATTCTCCAACACTCACCTACCCCATATGGTTATATTGTAGCAATGGATAGACAGCATTTAATGTGTGCCTTACTGTAAGCCAAGCCAAATAGTAAACTCATTAATTTTCCTTTCCTGAAAACCTTTTGTTTTCCCTGGAGTTACTTTTTCCTTTTCTTTTCCCCCACTTTTTTTTTGGGGGGGGCATAGTTTTCCATGCACTTGTCACGTATACAACTCCAAGCTCGCCACCAATAAATCTTCCCTTAGTACATTCAGAGGCAGTAAATACTCAGAAATAGGAAAAGGATATAGAAGTTTCTCCCCAGACTACTCTGATCTGCTCCAAACAGAACTAGAGACTCTCTCCTTGTACAGAGCTGTCATCTTAGAACATTCCTGCACCTACAGAGTCCCTTCACCCCTCTCCTGGGTAGCATCCCAATTTCTGACATCTCACACCCTCCTGCTCCTGGGTTTACCCCTCTGTTTTGGTGCAGTCTCTAGCGGCTTTGAAAGGGTAGAAAGGAGAAGCAAAGGTCTTGAAGTAGGAGCATCCTTGTATATCTGAGGAACTGCCAAGAGGCAAGTGGACCTGGGAAGCAGTGACTAAGAGTGAGCGTTTTCGGAATTAAGGTCTAGGAGGTAACAGCATGGATAGTGCAGGGTCTCGTAGGCCCTGTAAGGATTTTAGCTTTAACCCTGAATGACAAGAGAAGCCACCAGAGGGCTCTGAGTAGAGGACTGACAGGATCTGACTTACATTTCTCTGGGTCATGATGACTGCTGTGTAGAGGACAAAGATGAAAAGGGAGAGGGAGAGTCAGGAGGGTTTCTAAAGTGATGAGTTCACTGCAAGAATCCAGGTGAGGTCTGAGTCCTGCACTGGGGCGGAGGCAATGAAGGAGGTAAAAAGGGGTCAGATTCTGGGTGTGTGTGGGAGTAGATCTGCAGCATGTACTCACTGGAACTGGATGTGAGGAGGAAGGAAACAAAAGATGACTTCAAAGCATTTGGTCTCAGCACCTAAAGCAATGGAGCTGCCATTTAACAAAAGGGGGAAGACTAGGGAAGCAGAAGATTCGGGAAAAAAAGCAAAGTTTGATTTTGGATATCTTAAGTTTGAAGTACTTTTTAGACACCTCAGGAGGCTGGGTATTGAAGCCTGGAGTTCAGAATTGCATACTGAAGAGCTCCAATGTGTAAAGATTAGTAAAATTTATGGAGCGCCTGGGTGGTTCAGTCAGCTAAGCGTCTGCCTTCGGCTCAGGTCATGATCTCAGGGTCCTGGGATCGAGTCCCACACAGGGCTCCTACTCAGCAGGGAGCCTGCTTCTCCCTCTCCCTCTGCCACTCCCCCTGCTCATGCTCTCTCTCTCAAATAAATTTTTAAAATATTAAACAAAAATCAGTAAAACATGGAGGATTCAGCAAACGGGCCAGAAAAAGCATGGCTAGTGAGGCAAGGCATGAATGCCAAGAAGGGAGGGTCCCAAAGGCAAATAAAGAAAGTGCTTCAAAATGGACTATGTGCTCAAATTGTCAAAGCTTCTCACACCCCCAGCAGGATGAAAACTGAGGACAGTCTGACCAATGGATTTGCATGAACATGCGACACAGAGGCCACTTAAGACCCTTCAGAGTGTAATTTTGGTGGAGTGTGAGGACAAAAGCCAGACTGGAGTGGGTTCAAGAGAAAATCAGGTATAATGTTACCAAAGCAGAATCCTTGTCCAGAGTGTTTTAGACTGAATTAAATCATGAAGGAACAACCAGATAAATCCTAATTATGGGGCATTCTACAAGAATTCTTAGGCTCTTCGTAAGTGTCCATGTAAGTTAAAAACAACAACAACAACAACAAAAAAGGCAGGGGCTGTTCTGGATTACAGAAGACTAAAGAATCCTGATGACAGAATGCAGTATGTGCTCCTTCAAGGGATCCTGGATTAAGGGAAAACTAGTTACGTTTTTGGAACAACGTGAGGGAAACGTAACTACAGGCTGTATGTGGAATAATACTCTGATACCAGCATCTCACTTTCTGTAGTTGATACCGGCTTTGCAGGAAATGTTGGGGGGTATCCACAATGTTGGGAAACACATGGCCATGTATTTAGGGGTGATGCCATAGAACACCTGAGAATTACTTGCAATCCTTGAATTAGTGACAGTGAGGGTGCAGTCATAATGCTTACTATTAATTTGGCTGTTACTGTGTACCAAGCACTATGTTAAGTGTTTTATATGCCTTATTCCATTTGGTCCTCCACATTATAGAACAAACTGAAAGCCACTTAGATTGTTAGCAGTAGATCCCAAAGCCATGCTTTTAAACCACCATCATGCTAAGCCCCTCTGTCAAGGGAGGACAGATTGCTGAGATATTTAAGAAGCATGACCTACAGGACTCAGCAATTCTGATATGTTCCTGAGGGGTGGGGAGGGTGGGGAGAATTTTACTTTGAGACATAAAAAAATTAAATAAGGAAGAGCATGTGACTCTTGATCTCGGGGTCGTGAGTTCAAGCCCTATGTGGGATGTAGAGGTTACAAAAAATAAAAATAAATAAATAAACTTAAAAAAAATTAAATCATCTTCAGGCCTGATCCAGATCTACTAGAACTGCTTCGGCTGTAGGATTGTACATCAGAAAAGAGCATTCTTCTTACCTTTCACGCAACAACAGCCCAGTGACATAAATTCCTTGAAAAGATTTGACTATATTTGCTATTTCCATCTTTACTCCAAATGTCCTTTTCCTCAACTTTTTATCGAAATTCTACAGAAGAGTTCAAAGAAGAGTAAAATCAACAGCCATTTACCTTTCACCTAGATCTGTCAATTGTTGACATTTTGCCAAATTTGCTTTCTCTTTTGATCTTTTCCTCTCCTCTGTACTTTTTCCTACTGAAGTATCCTAAGTAATGATAAGTGAAAATATCATAATAACAGTCACTCCACTCCCAAATATGTGGGGATGTATCTCTCAAGAACAAGGATACTGTCCTATAAAACCTATAATTCTATTACCAGTCTCAAGGAATTAGGGCAATAATATTATTTAATGTACATACAGCCTATATTCAAATTTCTGCCACAATGTTCCAAAAACAGATGCACTGAATGGAATAAACAAACTCTGGCCCCAGAACTGTAAGGAACTTGCTTGGTGATGGGAGTCTCAGTTTCTCCATTATTTCATTATTTTCATTTTAAAGGAAAAATTAAATGCAGTTCATACATATCTTATTTTTCTGAATTAGCTCTTGTGTAAAAAAGCTTCCTCGCCACTGTCCAGAAGGCCTCCCAGTGTCCAGGCTCTCCATCTCCTAATTTACCCTCCCAGTCTTCAGCAGAGTTATTTTTCTAAAATTCACATTCGATTTGGTACTCCCACCATTAAAAATTCCCAGTCCCTATGAGGAAGGCCGTGATCACCCAATGTCAATTCCTACCTCTTCTCCATCTTAATCTCCAACACCATCTCAGTCATGCCTTTGTGGGGGCTGAAATCTCTTCCCGCACCAGCTCACTCTGTTCATCTAGTGAGCGCCTACATACCCTGCAAAACCCAGCTCAAGAGTCACCTTCTTTTCCCCTGATGCTCACAGAACAAAGTTAATCACACATTTTGTACTTTTGCTGAACCTTAAATATCTGTCTACCCTTAGCACAGACTTCTTCCATTATTTATCTCTAGAAGTGCTTCTCCTTTTTGCACAGTGGCTCTCTTAAGGACATACTCTGTTAAGTAATTTTTGTTTCCGCAGGGTCTAGCAGAGTTTTTAACATCTCGGTGGTACTTACTAAGCACTTGCTACATTGACTCTTACTCGTACACAGCTTATTCACTACATAAAGCAAGTCAGTGATTGTCTGAACTACAAATGGATTATTCAAGGCTGATGTGTGGCCACCAATAGTCATATGCTAAACTTCCCACCAGCCACTAACCCAGGGTGACCTCCTGGGCTTCCCAATGGCAGGTTGGGGAGAATCAACTACAGAGAATTGTATTTCCAATGATTACAAACCCCGGTCCCAGAACTGTAGGGAGGCAGGACGTGAAGGGTTTGCTGGAGTACCTGGTGAAGGCAGAGGGGGAGTGCTCTGGAATCCAACTGCTCAACTTCCCCTCGTATAAGTGAGAACAGATACTGAAGAACTCGCTTTGGGGCTTCGGGTTGATCATTAGCGTTTACTTCTGCGGACTCTTCATCACTCACAGCATGTGTGGACGCACTTAGTGTATTTTCTCGCATCAAAGGTGTAGCATCTCCTGAACAAAATCCTTTAAGAAGTAAATAAAATGCCTACGTTAGGATAAAGTATCATCATGGTGGAATACCTTAAAATAATTGTCTGTTAACCATAAAATTTGCAAATAAAGCTAATCATACGGCGGGGAAAAAGCCCAGAACCACAGGTTTTTGTTCTCAATAAACTGTGCTGTCATCTGACTGACTCTATTAGCACACACATGAACTATTTTTGCAGAATTCTAATTACGAGTATTAATAAAAAGAGATCTAAAGGAAAGTATGAGGGTTAAAACCTGACCACAAACTTGATTCAACCAAAGGAAAAAAGAGATTAGCTGTAATCGAGAAAGTCCTGGCTTGCTCAAAATAAAACACACAGCAAGGTAAATGCACTTCTCATATAAAAGGACTACAGAAGTTAAGCTCTCCTCTTTAAACTCTGGTCTGATAACCATAGGACTACTTATGGATCCCAAGAGAGCAGCAGGAATTCAGATGCCAGAGCTAATGGTCGTGAAAATCTTTTCGTAATAAGAAGTTAAGTAACACAAACTTCGAAAATCAATCAATCAATCAATCAATCATCCATGAATAAATGCTTGGCCTGGAGCTCCTGAAATGATGTACCAAATTTTAAAAATTTAATCATTACATGTTAGAACTTCACCCCTCACGGAAATCTCAGTATCTGCTCTAATTTGCATATTCAAATTGAATAGACTATCTGCATCTGTACATCCATTTAGGGGATCAGAATGGCTCCTTCTCAGTAATGCAGTGTACATACCATGGTTGGTACGTATGCAGGATGCCTCCTGCGAGCTCTCTAAAGTATGCCTGAACTCTGTCTTCTACCACCTTCTAAACAAACCCACTGCTCTAGCCAGATGGGTCAGTTCTTCATCTCCTTAGTAAAATATTCTGTGACTTGAGCAATTACAGATTCTAACAGAATATTTTCTTCCCATCTATGCCTATTTATGTTTTATGCTAACAAAATCCATGTATTTCTGTATAACATGGGCCTATGGTAAACTTACTTTCCTCTCAATACTGTAGATAGCCCTGTATTGTGCTAGATTGTATTACAGTGATTGCTGAAAGGTCTCGTCTTCATTAGATCAGAACTCCTGTATCCACAGGGATTCATTTATGGGCCACAATTATTGTAACTATAACCTGTAACTATAACCAGCAGTGTCTTCAGCACGAAAATTCCAAGTGCTGTGATTTCTAAAATTAATCACCTATGGTGATTCCTTCTATTTTAGAAAATTCTCTTCTATGAATTTTGTATCATTTGAGATCTGGAAATACAAGGCTTAGTGATGGCCTGCCATTTTGCACAGAGTATCTGTGAAAACATGGATGATTCTTCTGCTTTTCAATTTTCTAACCAAATGGTAGTAGTGCCAGTGTGGAAAGATAAGCTTTCCATAGAGAACTCCAAAGAAACTAAGAGAACTACTGTTTCTTTCCCTTTTCCCCAGGCACACGATTATGTCCAAGACATTTAATCTCATACAGGCTGTGATAAAGCCAGCCTCCCAAATTCTATACTTCTCTTGACTAAATTCTTCCCAAATAGTTATCAAATATTACTCCATGCTTCTTCCTTGAAAACATGTAGGAATTATATCATTATTGGTCATTTTCAGTAAAGGGGAGTTAAAGAAAACTCTTGAAGAATATTACCAAAGAAGGACAAGATTCTCAAAGGTAAAGATAAAGGACAGACTTTATGACTCTCTTATCTAAAGGAGGTCAGAACAGGGTCCCAAATAATGGAACTGGAAACAGGATTGTGATTATCTCAGTTAGTTAGACAGTGTAGATTCATAATGGCCATGGTCCCTGCTAGATCCATTTTCAAGTTACTTTAATAATTAATGTTATGGATACATAAATTTATAAACATGTGATACACTGGTAAATAAAATTATGTAGCCAACAAAAGAAATTGTAACAGAAAGAGTATTAGTCATCAAACAAAACCAACAAAAGTTTGAAAAGCATATATACGAGCCTAAAGATTCCAAGAGCAATGGAAGGCTAATGTAAACAATTAGAAAGAATATAGTAGTTTAATTGCCAAGTGCAGGGAGGGAACGGAAAATATGATTAGGCTCACATGTGTCATTCCAAATGGGTTAAGAGATCAGGGAAACTTGACTCATACCACAAAAGGATCATTTATTGGGGTTGAAGATCATGAGTTTCAGAGATAACTTAATTACAAAACTTACCTCTTAAAATAATATTACTTGCTGGGACAGAGTAGTATAAATCAAAGAGCACTGGAATAGGAGCAAGAGACATCAGTTCTATCATTTTTCCAAGTGACTTGGATTAGACATTTATTTTCTATACTGTAGTTCCTTATCTTTAAAATGAAGGGATTGGCCAGGTGAGGCCTCAAATTCCTCCTAGATCTGACCATTTCAAACATTCAAAGTCTCCAGAATGATTTAAGAAATGTAACCAGGCTGGTCACTGTGACACTAGCCTCTAGGCCAGCTTCCATGGGCCCAGGCTCCAGGATCACCCTAGCTCCAGGCAACCCCCCAGCTGACTCAGGTTCCAGGCTGGGTCCCATGGATACAGGCTCCCAGCCAACACCAGAGCCAGGGTGGCTCTCATGGACTAAGGTGTTAGGCCCACCACCCTAATGGTGCCTGGTACCTCATCCATCCCAAAGGACCCAGGATCCAAGGCCCACCCACATAGACTCAAGCACCAGGCCCACCCCAGTGGACCCAGTCAGCAGATTTGCCCACCTGAGGACTCCAGCATCAAGCCTGCTCATGGTCACCACTAGCTGGCCCACCCAGAATCTCTGGACAGGCTGACTAGTAAAGGGTTTCCCTGTTGAAGCCATTCTGTAAAGACTGCTTTTTTAGATGTACAGACACCAACAGAAGTCCACAAGGATCATAAATAATCAAGAAAACATGATACAACCAGAGGAAACTAACAAAGATCAATAAAAGGCCCTACAAAAATAGAGATCTATGAACCACTTGACAAAGTATTCAGAATAATCTTCTTAAAGAAATTTAGTGAACATAACACAGATAGACAAACAAAATTAGGAAAATAACATATGAACAAAATGAGAAGTTTAACAAAGAGATAGAAACCATGATAAAAATCAAACAGAAGGGGGCACCTGGGTGGCTCAGATGGTTGAGCGTCTGCCTTCGGCTCAGGTCATGATCCCAGGGTCCTGGGATCGAGTCCTGCATCGCGCTCCCTGCTCCTTGGGAGCCTGCTTCTCCCTCTGCCTCTCTCCCTCTCTCTCTCTCTCTGTCTTTCATGAATAAATAAATAAAATCTTTAAAAAAAAAAAATCAAACAGAAATCCTAGAGTTGAATACATTGAAATGAGAAATTCAACAGAGAGCTCCAACAGCAGACTCAACCAAGCACAAGAAGGAATCAGTGAACTTAAAGATATGTCATTTGAAATTATCTGGTCAGAAGAGCAAAAAGAAAAAAGAATGAAAAAGAATGAAGAAACCTTACATGAATTGTGTGATACCATGAACAGACACAATCTACGCATTACTGGAGTCCCAGAAGGAAAAGAGAGGGAAAAGGGGACAGAAAACTAACTTAAAGAAATAATGACTAAGAAATCTCCAAATATGGAGAAAGATTTGGACATCCCCATTCATGAAGCTTATAGGTTCCCCCAAATTATCAACCTAAAAATATCTTCTCTGAGACACGTTATAATAAAGCTATCTAAAATCAAAGAAATCGAGTATTTTTAAAACAGCAAGAGAGGGTGCCTGGCTGGTTCGGTCGGAAGAGCATGCAACTCTTGATCTTGGGGTCATGAGTTTGAGTAGAGGTTACTAAAATAAAAGTCTCAGGGGAGACTTCCAGCTCCCAGTGCTCCTGTAATAATACTGATAAACTATGTAAAAAATACAAAATAACAGTAATTTTCAAGAAGACAGGAAAAGAAAAAAAAATCCCTCACATTCCGGGGAACTCCTGGAAAGGTATTTGTGGATTTCTTGGCAGAAAGATTGCAGGCCTGGAGAGAATGGGATGAACATGTTGGACTTCAAAATAATTTTGATGCCACATGAACTTACAAAAGTTTTCTTGAAAAAATAAGTGTAGGGCGCCTGGGTGGCTCAGTTGGTTAAGTGACTGCCTTTGGCTCAGGTCATGATCCTGGAGTCCCGGGATCGAGTCCCGCATTGGGCTCCCTGCTCAGCAGGGAGGCTGCTTCTCCCTCTGACCCTCCCCCCTCTCATGCTCTATCTCATTCTCTCTCTCAAATAAATAAATAAAGTCTTTAAAAAAAAAAAGAAAAAAGAAGTATAATAATATATCACAATTAACACCAAAATTCCTTCTGACACATGAAAGTTTTCTGGCAAAGATATTAATTGTTAAGAATGAAAGCCAAAGGGGCGCCTGGGTGGCTCAGTCGGTTAAGCGACTGCCTTCGGCTCAGGTCATGATCCTGGAGTCCCGGGATGGAGTCCCACATTGGTCTCCCTGCTCAGCGGGGAGTCTGCTTCTCCCTCTAACCCTCCCCCCTTTCATGTACTCTCTCTCTCTCTCATTCTCACTCTCTCAAAATAAATAAATAAATCTTTAAAAAAAAAAAAAAGAATGAAAGCCAAATAAAAACATATACTGTACAACACGTAATTTCTTCTTTGCTACAAAGTCTTATTCAATTTAAATGAAACTTTTTTTTTTTGCCAGATATGAATCTATACAGGAATATAAAATTCTATTTACTTTCATTTGGGAAAGTCAAATGAGTTATAGTTAAAATTCCACATTAAGCAATCTCGTGATACTATTTATATGCAGATGGTGACAAATTCATAGACCCTAACTTAACACCTGTCAACTTCATCATGCTCTAAAATCAACATCAGTGTTTACTTGCACCTACTAGGTTTTATTTTTAAAAATTATTTGTAACTATCTTCTGCCAGAAATGAAAGGAATCACCTTGATTGAGAGATTTTATTCAATGTATCAGACCACCTGAATT